AATGCCACATTAATCTAGAGGGAAAACCATGAAGAAAAAGCCAAACTTCGTGAAAATCGGATGAGATTTGGCCGAGATATGGGGGTGGTAATTTTTGACCCATGTCTATATACGAATCTTGGGGTAAGATTTGGACATGAATTTCGACCAAAAAATCGGTGTTCAGATTTGAATGCCAGATTAATCTATAGGGAAAACCATGAAGAAAAAGCCAAACTTCGTAAAAATCGGATGAGATTTGGCCGAGATATGGGGGTGGTAATTTTTGACCCATGTCTATATACGAATCTTGGGGTAAGATTTGGACATGAATTTCGACCAAAAAATCGGTGTTCAGATTTGAATGCCAGATTAATCTATAGGGAAAACCATGAAGAAAAACCCAAACTTCGTGAAAATCGGATGAGATTTGGCCGAGATATGGGGGTGGTAATTTTTGACCCATGTCTATATACGAATCTTGGGGTAAGATTTGGACATGAATTTCGACCAAAAAATCGGTGTTCAGATTTGAATGCCAGATTAATCTATAGGGAAAACCATGAAGAAAAACCCAAACTTCGTGAAAATCGGATGAGATTTGGCCGAGATATGGGGGTGGTAAATTTTGACCCATGTCTATATACGAATCTTGGGGTAAGATTTGGACATGGATTTCGACCAAAAAATCGGTGTCGAGATTTGAATGCCAGATTAATCTAGAGGGAAAACCATGAAGAAAAAGCCAAACTTCGTGAAAATCGGATGAGATTTGGCCGAGATATGGGGGTGGTAATTTTTGACCCATGTCTATATACGAATCTTGGGGTAAGATTTGGACATGAATTTCGACCAAAAAATCGGTGTTCAGATTTGAATGCCAGATTAATCTATAGGGAAAACCATGAAGAAAAACCCAAACTTCGTGAAAATCGGATGAGATTTGGCCGAGATATGGGGGTGGTAAATTTTGACCCATGTCTATATACGAATCTTGGGGTAAGATTTGGACATGGATTTCGACCAAAAAATCGGTGTCGAGATTTGAATGCCACATTAATCTAGAGGGAAAACCATGAAGAAAAAGCCAAACTTCGTGAAAATCGGATGAGATTTGGCCGAGATATGGGGGTGGTAATTGTTGACCCATGTCTATATACGAATCTTGGGGTAAGATTTGGACATGGATTTCGACCAAAAAATCGGTGTCGAGATTTGAATGCCAGATTAATCTAGAGGGAAAACCATGAAGAAAAAGCCAAACTTCGTGAAAATCGGATGAGATTTGGCCGAGATATGGGGGTGGTAATTTTTGACCCATGTCTATATACGAATCTTGGGGTAAGATTTGGACATGAATTTCGACCAAAAAATCGGTGTTCAGATTTGAATGCCAGATTAATCTATAGGGAAAACCATGAAGAAAAACCCAAACTTCGTGAAAATCGGATGAGATTTGGCCGAGATATGGGGGTGGTAAATTTTGACCCATGTCTATATACGAATCTTGGGGTAAGATTTGGACATGGATTTCGACCAAAAAATCGGTGTCGAGATTTGAATGCCAGATTAATCTAGAGGGAAAACCATGAAGAAAAAGCCAAACTTCGTGAAAATCGGATGAGATTTGACCGAGTTATGGGGGTGGTAAGTTTTGACCCATGTCTATATACGAATCTTGGGGTAAGATTTGGACATGCATTTCGACCAAAAAATCGGTGTCGAGATTTGAATGCCACATTAATCTAGAGGGAAGACCATGAAGAAAAAGCCAAACTTCGTGAAAATCGGATGAGATTTGACCGAGTTATGGGGGTGGTAAATTTTGCCCCATGTCTATATACGAATCTTGGGGTAAGATTTGGACATGCATTTCGACTAAAAAATCGGTGTTCAGATTTGAATGCCAGATTAATCTGGAGGGAAAACCATGAAGAAAAAGGCAAACTTCGTGAAAATCGGATGAGATTTGGCCGAGATATGGGGGTGGTAAATTTTGACCCATGTCTATATACGAATCTTGGGGTAAGATTTGGACATGCATTTCGACTAAAAAATCGGTGTTCAGATTTGAATGCCACATTAATCTAGAGGGAAAACCATGAAGAAAAAGCCAAACTTCGTGAAAATCGGATGAGATTTGGCCGAGATATGGGGGTAGTAAATTTTGACCCATGTCTATATACGAATCTTGGGGTAAGATTTGGACATGAATTTCGACTGAAAAATCGATGTTCAGATTTGAATGCCAGATTAATCTAGAGGGAAATCCATGAAGAAAAAGCCAAACTTCGTGAAAATCGGATGAGATTTGGCCGAGATATGGGGGTGGTAATTGTTGACCCATGTCTATATACGAATCTTGGGGTAAGATTTGGACATGGATTTCGACCAAAAAATCGGTGTCGAGATTTGAATGCCAGATTAATCTAGAGGGAAAACCATGAAGAAAAAGCCAAACTTCGTGAAAATCGGATGAGATTTGGCCGAGATATGGGGGTGGTAATTTTTGACCCATGTCTATATACGAATCTTGGGGTAAGATTTGGACATGAATTTCGACCAAAAAATCGGTGTTCAGATTTGAATGCCAGATTAATCTATAGGGAAAACCATGAAGAAAAACCCAAACTTCGTGAAAATCGGATGAGATTTGGCCGAGATATGGGGGTGGTAAATTTTGACCCATGTCTATATACGAATCTTGGGGTAAGATTTGGACATGGATTTCGACCAAAAAATCGGTGTCGAGATTTGAATGCCAGATTAATCTAGAGGGAAAACCATGAAGAAAAAGCCAAACTTCGTGAAAATCGGATGAGATTTGACCGAGTTATGGGGGTGGTAAGTTTTGACCCATGTCTATATACGAATCTTGGGGTAAGATTTGGACATGCATTTCGACCAAAAAATCGGTGTCGAGATTTGAATGCCACATTAATCTAGAGGGAAGACCATGAAGAAAAAGCCAAACTTCGTGAAAATCGGATGAGATTTGACCGAGTTATGGGGGTGGTACATTTTGCCCCATGTCTATATACGAATCTTGGGGTAAGATTTGGACATGCATTTCGACTAAAAAATCGGTGTTCAGATTTGAATGCCAGATTAATCTAGAGGGAAAACCATGAAGAAAAAGGCAAACTTCGTGAAAATCGGATGAGATTTGGCCGAGATATGGGGGTGGTAAATTTTGACCCATGTCTATATACGAATCTTGGGGTAAGATTTGGACATGCATTTCGATTAAAAAATCGGTGTTCAGATTTGAATGCCAGATTAATCTAGAGGGAAAACCATGAAGAAAAAGCCAAACTTCGTGAAAATCGGATGAGATTTGGCCGAGATATGGGGGTGGTAAATTTTGACCCATGTCTATATACGAATCTTGGGGTAAGATTTGGACATGCATTTCGACTAAAAAATCGGTGTTCAGATTTGAATGCCACATTAATCTAGAGGGAAAACCATGAAGAAAAAGCCAAACTTCGTGAAAATCGGATGAGATTTGGCCGAGATATGGGGGTAGTAAATTTTGACCCATGTCTATATACGAATCTTGGGGTAAGATTTGGACATGAATTTCGACTGAAAAATCGATGTTCAGATTTGAATGCCAGATTAATCTAGAGGGAAATCCATGAAGAAAAAGCCAAACTTCGTGAAAATCGGATGAGATTTGGCCGAGATATGGGGGTGGTAAATTTGGACCCATGTCTATATACGAATCTTGGGGTAAGATTTGGACATGCATTTCGAATAAAAAATCGGTGTTCAGATTTGAATGCCAGATTAATCTAGAGGGAAAACCATGAAGAAAAATCCTATATCATATATATATTCTATTTTAGAAGCTATATGTTAAGTTTGGTGACTCAAGTTCTTATTATTTACCAAAATTGCCCAAAAAACAGGATATCGATATCGATTTTTATCGATTGCTTGGAAACGGAGTAAGTTATAAATTATCGGATTATCGATCTGCGCGGAAGCTAGGAGCATCTACATCTAAAATTTCAAGTCTCTAGCTCTTATAGGTTCTGAGATCCTTGCGTTCATACATACGGACGGACGGACAGACGGACATGGCTAGATCGACTCAGCTATTTATGCTGATCAAGAATATATATACTTTATGGGGTCGGAGTTGCTTCCTTCTGCCTGTTACATACATTTGGCTTTCGCACAAATACAATATACCCTTATACCCATTTTAAATGGGTTCAGGGTATAAAAATAGGTGATTCAATTTTTAAGGTTAAAAACAATTGCAAAAAAAAAAATGTAAATAAACGAATGAGTATAAAATATTTTTTGGCTGAACTTTTATCTTAAAACGTCTAAATTAAATTTAATGTAATGTCGGAAAAAGAAATGTAAGCCCAAAAGATTTTGAATCGTGCTAAATGGCTTAAAATCGTGGCAAAAAAAATGTAATTTGTTTCTTTTTTTTTTATTTTCAAACCGTGTTAAATCAAAACCGCGTAAAAACAGAAATACGATGAGGATGCATTTGCCATTTAACCGCGGCCAAGAGTATATTTTTGTGTATATTTGTACTGACAGCTCGATGTTGGAAACAGGGCATCTGCCAGTCGAGCGCGATGGTTTCGATATATGAAAACGTTGTCACGAAATATCTGTTCTCTATTTCTGAATGTAATTTATTTCATAATCATGATAATATACACATCTATATGTTCTGCGTAAAATCTGGGTATCTGAATAATTCTTAAACTTTTGCCGCGTCTTGAAGTTCATCCCGAATCTCGTCTTTGTGGGACGACCTTACTTACAACATACGACCTGCATACTCATTAGCGCATATATAGACATCTGCTTGTTCTGTTGACGCTCAATACTTCTTTAAATGTTGATGCGTCTTCACATTCATTCCGGTTTTCGTCCAGTTGGCAGGCTTTACTTACAATATACGTTCATACGACATATACGCATAATTCCATACGACCATATACCACACATCTATTTGTTTTGTTTAAAATCTCGATACTTCTGTTTGGCTTTTTTCAATATTTTTTCTTGTTTTTCACATTTAAATAGTCCACAATCAAAATCTAAACGTGAACATTTGACCTCTTGTCAGCTTCTCGCAATCGGCAATCGGATTGGTGTTCTTTATTGCTTCTTTACATTTTCATTTTATAATATCTGCATGCTATTATGATGAAGATGACTTGTATAACTGCAAGCAAGCCAGAGTAAATATAATTAATATGTGTTCAATTTTAGATTTTAGTCAACATTTTGCACAACTTGCCTGGTAGGTAAATTAATCCCACAAACACAAATGGTAATATGGAGCTTAAAATTATGCCAACCAAAAACATGGTACGTTTGTTCTACGTTAAAAAAAATAGCATATGTTAGTTAAGGGGCATTCAGATGACTTGAACAATGCAAGCATACCTTCAAAAAGCCCACTAACAAGAGTATTCCAGCAATTAAGTGCACGAGGGCAATTATTAAGAGGCCAACGCCGATCCAAAGAAAAATATCAGCAGCATACAAATATGCTTCAAGGTTTGTGTGTGTTATCAATTCACACATCTGAAATATATATGTATATGCGAATATTTACCTATCCAACCAAGCATTGCTATTGTAAAAATGATTCCATGTATGAGAGTCCATATGCTGAAGAAGTACGCCTTGCTCCATAGCGAGCAACAGCAGTCGTCGAAACAATCCTCGGGGCAGTAACACATATTTAATTTTCAACTGTAAATTTTTTGGAAAAGTTTAAAGTGTAAACGACTTGTTTACCTTAAAAGTTTGTGTTTTGTGAACGTAAACAAAAATTGATATTAAAAATGGAATTGTCAACGCCTGCTTAAGTTTTGAAAATATTTCCAATTATTGAACTAAACAAATTATATGAAACAAGTGTGCCAGACTAACAGATATCCTGTACTCAACGGCGCGCTAGCTTTACAAACATTCCAGCTTCCCTCTATAGCTTGTATTCTTCAATACTTTCGGCGTTTATAGTCCGATCTTTATGACATTTCCAAGGCGTAGAAAAAGTAGGGCCTGAAAGTAAAATAGTTTTAATCTGTATTTACTGTACGAGAATTTGCACTTCAAATTTGGTGCATTTAGCTTTTCAGACTTTTGAGTTATGCTTAGAAAACCAAGTCTAAGCATCGATATTTATCGATGTAATCGAAATAGAGCGAGATATCGATGAAAAAGAAGAAATTAAACACGTATAGCACATTGTATGTATCAGATTTCAAGTCTGTTGCTGCCGAGATCAGGTGCAGAAACGGACGAATAGACAGAACAGGAAATTTTTAAAAGATACAGGGTATTAAAAGATGAATTTTGGGGCAGAATAAATTGTTAACACGCATGTGCCACAAAATAATGCGACTGACGAAAATTAACTGAAACTTTATTAAATATGCAGCAGCTCAGTTGGGTATGTGGGCCGGAAACATGGGCGATGGCAGCGGCGACGGCGGCGCGCAGAGGGGATATAATGAATGCTGAATGTTTAAGCAGAAAGTCCAGAAAGACCGAGACAAAGGCGAACGCGATGTCGAAAATACAGACGTAGACGATGCGCGTGTAGTGGGGAGGAGGGTGTGGGTGGGGTGTTGACTGGAGGTGGAACCTGCGAACCGTGGACTATGGGGATGAGTCTCTGGCCCCAGCCGTTAGGGGATAGGGTGGGGGGGGGCATATTCAAATCTAGGCTAGAACTTTTGCTTAATGCAATAACCGTGTTGGGGCCCAGCCACATGTAAATGGGGAACACGGGCGCGACTGGGGCTACAGGCAGCAATTCCCCAGGAAGTCAAAACAGCGACACGTGTGTGTGTGTGTGAGTGTGTGTGTCGGTGTGTGGCACTTACAACGGCAACATTGGACGGCACAACCAAATGCATTGGCCTAAGGATATTTTCGTGTTGGCAACAATGAAAACTGGCAACAGGAAGCGTGAGCGAGATGCACAGAACAGAGTAAGACTTATAGAGGGGAAGAGAGAGAAGGAGATCGAAAGAGAATGAATGAGAGTATGAATGAATGGGTGGGGCCTCCAACAACAGCAAATACTTTCATTTATTAATTTTGTTTTGCTTTTCAAAGTCTCACCCACAAGCTGGCAATTGACTTTTTAACTGAAACCTTACCGAACCCCGTGCTAAACTTCGCTCTTCACTCCCCTCTCTGCGTCTTTCACGTGACACATTTGTTCTGTTTGTCATATATATAGGTATATGGGTCATCTAATAGTTTGTTTGCCTGCAAATTTACTTGGCGCTTATCAACACTGTTGCGAAGCACGTTTCAGAGGGTATCTTCAAGACTAACATTTTCTAATCATTTCCCAGTATTTTTGTGTAGCTTTAATCTGCTCAAGTCCTTTATATTTTAAATAACTATTTTTTAGCTAAACACTGAAACTAGTGTGCTGCAATCCTTTGTTTTTACTTTACAACACTGTGTATAGTGTGCTTTAATTAAAATAGACATATAAGACACGTATACATATTGGAGTATCTGAAGAGTTAAGTCCAGCAGCTTAATAAGAAAATCTTTTCCAGTAGATTAAACATTCACATACTGATTAAAGCTCTCACTTCTTTTACCCAGCATCTGAACTGACACTTACCAACACTGACACTATTCAACACTGACTCCAACAACACTGATGCTATTTCTAAGTTATTTGTAGTGGATATTTTAGTTTGTTGCCTTTTGGAAGTTTGTTGTTTTTCTTTTTTCAATTTCCTCACCATTTCAATTCCCATCCCTTTTTCCATTCTCCGCGTTCCGTTTCACACTCAACTGGAACAATGATAAATGCTTTCCAGCGTTCTACGGCCTTTTGTTATTCGCATTTCTGGGCTGACTTATGAATACCCGAGTGAAATCATGAATTATGATCGTTATTGCAATGTCTTTGTCTCTCTCTCTCTCTCTCTCTCTCTCTCTCTCTCTCTCTCTCTCTTGAAAATATCAACTCGTTTTGAAAGTTTAGGCATTTCGTGGCCAGTGTTGGTTAATTGCTTAAGTTGTGCCTTTATGGGCTGGTGCTTGACTTTTGTGAAGCACGCAAAAATGATAAACATAAATTGCTTTATGCGCCATAAAATACCTGTAAAGGTGTGTGTATGGGTGTATAAATATTTAATGTTTAAATTTAAAAATATAATTATATTTTGTTGGGAGGCGCGTGCAATCAGCATGATATCCTGGCTTCCTGCCTCGACTGCCAGCCATGCTGGCTTCCTGCCAGCCAGTCAGTCAGTCAGTCGGCCTGCCAATTTAATTCGTTTGCATAAATTTTTGGCAAAAAAAGGGGGGGGGGGGGGGGGGGGGCGGACAGGGGAGCGCGCGCGATTACCGCTGTGTGGGTCACAAAACCGAGGCCCTGCGGCTTTTTTATGCGCCCCACAATGCCAAGCTCTAACCTATGCAGAGTTGACTTCGTATGTTTTTTATGTTGTTTTCCTATGCAAAATTCGATTTTAATGTGCCGGCAAATGCCTGAAATATTTGCTGCCATTGCAGCCTGGCCTAGGGTAGGCGGAAAAGAGGCTGTTGTTTTGCCTGTGTCTTGGCTGCCCTCCTCTTCCTCTGCTTAGCCCCTCCCCTGCCGGCTGCGACGGGCTGTTATGCTCTTGTTTTGATTGTCTTGCTTCAAAACAATTTCGGCTATTTGTCTGAGTCTTGTGTCTCAGTCGCATGCATAAATAATCAAAGCGAATGCAAATAAACAAAAGCGTTTGCTGCCATCCAGCTTTAAGTAGACTTATATATTATTTCACTTTCGTGTGGCTTTCAAGTAAATGCTGCTGCATAAATAAGCATAATTGCTAATTAAGTTGAATGTGTGGCTTTATGTGTCTTTAACTTGATCAATAATTGAATGACCGATTTGCTTGAATCGTCCTCGTCTGCTTGTCAGGCCCCTCTGAACCCATGTGGAGCCACTGACAAGCGCTGCCCGCCTCCGAGAGCCATAAATCATCATTTATATTATTAACATGGGGATCAAAATGGACAACACAGACAAGCCAAACTACCCAAACACGCACACTTTCATATGCATGTGCGTGTGTGTGTGTGTGTGTGTGCAAACCGGAAACCAGAGCGACCACAAATGACAAGGGAATGAAAGTATGTCCGTGTTCGTCTAAAATATGTTGCTTGCAAAAACATCAAACGTTGCCACAATGAACCAAACCGAGCCGAACGTACGAAACGAATGGAACATTAAAGTGTTGCATATTTATGGGCGCAGCGCGAGAAGCCAGAGCCAAGTGGCAGGCCAAAGCCATAGCCAAAGAGTCACCCGGCCAGCCAGCCAGCCAAAGGCAAATTCGAGTCCGAATAGAACAACCCAATTGAGTGTGCAGTAAACTTATGTCTGCCACAAAACAGTCACGACCACAGTCGCGGTCAATTGTTTAGAGCTGCCTTCTGATTGATCGAGCCTGAAAAGAACTAGATGTGCATAGCATATCTGATTGACTGACTGATTGATGAACAATGCACAGCCAAAACCCTAAGAGTGTAGTTTTTTTAAGATTTAAGGAAACTTGAAGACGAAAAATGTGTAATTTGGGAATTTTTTAGAGAACGCTTTGACGAAGCTTTATTTTATTTATTTTCCTTCGACTTCAAACATTCGACAATTTTTGTAAGTTCGCCAAATGCAGACAAAATATATGTTAAAATATTGTTTTAACCTCTCCGATTCTTCTTTATTTTCTTTGTTGCTCTCTCACTTGACATTGTTACTTGCTATTTTCCAAGTGTCTCAATTTGAGTGCATAATTTTTGCGGCTACTGTTTATATGCGAAAGCCCGTATGCAAAACTAATAAAAAACTCCAACTGACCAGGTTAGCTGGCAGCAGCAGCTCGTGTCGTCGGCTCCTGGCGCATCTGCCACGTCTGGCTGGCTGGCCGGCCAGGCACAACAGACTGTGTGTGTTTGTGTGCGTGTGTGTGTGTGATGGACTACGTTGCGAGGATTGCAGTCTCCAGTTCGCCAGTGCTTTGCATGTTTTATAGTTGTGACCTTAATCCCACCGTGCCCTGTCGTGTCTTCCTATATCTGTGTGCGTGACGTGTGAAGGTGTTTTTGTCTTTAGGGCTACTGTTTGTGCTGGCGCTGAGCTTAAAGGTGAACACACACTCATACACACCCAGGGTGTGAAAGGGTATATGAGCAAGCATTTCAATTATTATAACATTTAGCCATTAAATTTATCGATTAATTATTCGATAATTGCCTTTCCATGTGTATGATAGTCAATTATCGATTAATTAATCGATAAATTTCAATTGTTTTGCAATTTTTATCTAGTTTTTCTTTATTTCCATTTGGCGTGCAAAGGGAGAAGGAAAAAGGATCGAGCAGAATTACTGTACATAAATTCAGGTATATCTTGCATCCGTCCGACTGTCTAGCTGTCCGTCTCTTTGTCTGTTCACCTATTTAAACGTGTCTCAGACAGTAAAAGAGCTAGAAAAGGTTATAAGTCAAGTTTTTCAGGCTACATATGAATTTAACCTCTAGTGTAGTAATCGATAAGTGCTCAAATTTCGATAAATCTTGATATACAGGTAGTTGATGAAATCTCAACACTGATAAGTCATTTGTAAAACTTTTCTTTTAAAACTTATTCAGCTATGCATATTTATTCCATATTCAAATGTTGCAGTGCAGTCGATTTGTTATCGATAAACGATATAAACACTTAAGTTATACAAGAAAACAATTTCAATTTTTCGTAATATCTAAATATTTTTCCCTATATTT